TTTTTTCAGTTGTAGAGCTGATATTTCTGTTTCTTTGCTGGCTGCTAACTTAGCTCTTCAAAGCCTCTTGTTCTGTCTCAGAGCCGGCAGTGCCTCAAATCCTTCTTGTGTTTGGAATCTCTCTGAATTCCCTTCTTCCACACCTCTTTTCTGCCTACAGCTGGAGAAGGTTCTCTGCCCTTAAGGACTAGCCTGAATAATCCAAGACAGTATCCTTGCTTTAAGGTCCATAACCTTAATCACGTCTGCAACGTCCCTTTTGCCCTGCAGCTCAACAGACTCTACAGGTTCTAGGCTTCACGGTGTGAATATCTTTGTGGGGAGAATTCACACCATCTCTTATCTCTTTACGTTTCTCTGTGCTTTGGCTTCATGAATTTCTCCATGACGTGAAGAGCACAGCACTGACAGCCTCCAGGCATCAGGGACTCTCCATACAGATGCCACAGGGGCTGGGCAGGTAATACCGATGAGCGAGGTGAGCTGGTGTAAGAAAGTGGTGAGTGCTGGCCATGTGGGAACTAGAGCAGAGGATGATAAACTATGGCCAGGGGCCAAGTTCAGCTTTCTGGCCAGTCTTAGTAAATAAAGTTTGTGGATCTTCGGTGGCTGCTTTTGTGCTATGATGGCAGAGTTGCATCATTACAACAGAAGACCATATGGACTTGCAAAGCTGCAAGTATTTACTATCTGACCCTCTACAGAAAACATTTGTCAACCCATGAATTAGAAGATGCATTCCCCATTTGAGGCCACCTCAGAGTTCCGGCCAGTGGTTACTGTGAAGGAATATCTACCCAGCGTTGCCAAATCTAGTTTTTTCAAGAGAAGATTGAACTCAAGACTTTTATATAAAATTTTCTGTTATCTAAGTGTCAACTCATTCAAACAAGGTTCCAAACACTGGGAAGACTAATGAGAAAACATCTCCTGATCACATTGGCTTCTCCATAGTTTTTGGCCTTTGTTTTGTATAGTTTCAGCCAGAAAAGAGAAACGAAATTTACCGCTTTTTAGTCTCATGTCAAAATACCTTGAGGAAGGAACTGTGTCATGAGCTCACTTTGTACCAGTCGACTACGGCTAGGAGGATGGGTACAACTATTCATTGACTCAACTTGGTTAACTCAGAATCTCCCTCTTTGGCCCGGGGCTAGATTAAGTTTTCCACAGGCCTGAAGTATCAAAAAGTTTAAAACTCCAAACAAACCGCCAATACGTAATTTCAAAATAAATATAAAAAGCAACCCCCAAAATAAATGTAAGGAATTTCAACATGGTATTTTCTTCTCTGCAATAGCTACTCTGAATTTTAAAAAATAATATTTTTTTTCCAAAGAAATCTTCCCCCACACCCACTTTTTATTGGTTTTGTTTCTGCCCCGGCTTTTATACCAGGCTATTCTGACACCTGAGCTTTCCAGCGCTGCTGAGTTAGTGTGATGTGGCCAAAGGGTGGGGCAACCCATCTGTGGTCACAGGGCGGCTCTCAGAGCGGCCAGGAAGATGAAGGAGAGGGGCGTGCAGCCCATCCCAGGCACGTGCTCTGTGTGCTGAACGTGGACTCTCAGGAACCTTTCCTTTTCTGAAATGAGTTTTCTGAGAGCCCAGACGTCCATTCCACCTGCCTTTGTAAGTGACCAAAGCTCACTCTCTGTAACTGAAATGTGCCCTCACTGTCACTGAACACGGATGTCTCCCCAAGGCCTTTGCTGGCTAGAGAGCCTCAATGCTTGCTTGGATTTTTTTTATGTTTTTGTATTTTTCCCCCTAAACGCTCACAGCAGTAGAACCTTCTCTATAAAAGCACATTGATTTAATTTATTAGAGCTCTGAGGGGATAGGAATGGAGAGCATCTCCCAGGAGTCAAGTGTCAGAACAGCAAGTGAGCCCTGAACTGCCAGCTGCCTGCCTGCTGTTCCCGCGCATCTGGGGAGGGCTGGCCAAAAGGTCCACTTGCAGCTACCAAGTGTGATTTATTTGAAGAAAAGAAATTCAGACAATTCAGATTAGTTGGTACCTTAAAAATGAAGTTAGAATTGGATAAGGTCCTCATACTTGGTGACAAATTGAACTTTTAAATGAAAATCAATACTTAGGATACATAGCAACATATGTGATGCCAGTTTTTACTTTTTAATTAGACGAGGTCAAGTCACACAGGATGCCTTAATTAATTATTGAATTATTAAAGGAATAGTGAGTCATGTCTATGACATAGCTGTACTGCTACGGGTACTGAGGACTCAGCGGTCAGTAAGTAAGTAAGTAAGCACTCCTCTCCTGGAGAGCTGACACGCAAGTGGGGAAGACGGGCGGTGAACATGTAACTGTAGTGCGGCAGACGGCAATAAGGGCCCTGAAGAAAATGGAAACTGGTTGATGTATGATGGCCTGAATTGTGTCTCCTCAAAATTGGTATGTTGAAGTCCTAATCCCCTAGTACCTCACAATACAACTATGTTTAGAGATGCAGTTTTAAAAGAGGTACTTAATGTTGAATGAGTTCTGTAGGGTGGGCCCTAAGCCAACATGACTGGTGTCCCTGTAAGAAGAGGAGATCACGAAACACACGCACACGGAAGGAAGGCCGTGTGAAGAAGGTGGCCATCCACAAGCCCAGGAGAGAGGCCTTCTGAAGGAACCAACCTGCTGGCACCTTGATCTTGGACTTCCACCCTCCAGAGCTGTAAGAAAGTAAATTTCTGTCTAAGCCTCCTGGTCTGCGGCATTCATTACGGGAGCCTGAGCAAACTAACATATACGTTTGCTGTCCAGCCGTAGTGCAATTTGGTCATCTTAGAATAACCTGTGGTTGGACCTGTCCACCTTGTGATAAACTCTCATAGAACTGGTACTTCAGGTGATTGGGTTTTTTTCCCCAGCACTTTCATTATGGTAAATGATCTCACCTTTACATCTGATGGCATGTTTACTGTCTATCGTTCCCTCGCTCAATAATATAAAGCTCTCTAAGGGCAGGGCTTTTTCTTACAGTTTCCTGGATACATAAATAGTGTGTGGCAACCAATACATATATAATTTGAGTGGATAAACATTTTCCTTGTTTCAAAATCACACATTGCAGACACTTTAGAAGATACAGATAAGGCAAAGAACTAATATGATTACCTATGACCTTATTATTGGTGAACCAATAAAACAACTTTATTCCTTTAATAGGAGATGTCTCTGATTTTTCATGTTGTTAATGTATTTATAGCTTACATGTGATTGCTTATTGTGTTTAAAAGATTATCTGAAAATGTCTATATTTTGAAATGCCTATACATTTTATTTTCTTTAAGGAGAGTTATTCATCTTGGGCAGAACACCCAATACTTCAGAATAGGTTGGGAAGAGGGCAACTGCTAATTTAGGGTGAAACACTGTGGTTGCGACAGCTTAGTTGTTTGTCTAAATGGAAGGTGGTTATAAAGCCTTGGATCCTCAGAGCAGCATGTGTCAGTGAGCGTATCAGTGACGGGACAGCATCTCTAACATGTTTGCATAGGTAGAACCAGTAATTTGTTTTCCACATGCTTCATGTACTTAAAATCTACTTACTCTATGTTTTTAAACTGTTAAATCTGTATGTTTTTAAAGCCTAATCATATCTCAGACATCACTTTAAACTTCCAGCTGCTCAACGTCAGTGATGTGACAGATCAGTGGGTGTTTAGATTCAGACACGATCATGGTGCCGTTACAGGGTTAGAGTAATTGTGCTCACCTTGTGCATTTAAGAAGCATTGAGATGGTGCTTACTGTCTTCCAGGAACTGTTAAATAACTGTTTAATTATCATCACAAGCCTGTGAAGTAGGTAATACTGCGTCAGTGAGAAAGCTGAGGCACATAAGATAGCCGAGATAAGAAAGTTACCAAGGCAAAGGCAGGATTTGGAGGGAGAGAGATGAGCTTCAGTGCTTGTGCTGAATCACTACCATCTGCTTCCTCTCCTAAAAGTTCAGACAGTAGCGAACATTGATGATGTGTCCTGTGTGCCCGGTTCTTCTGTATGCTCTAGATATATTCAGTCATTTTGTGGTAATGAGCTACCCATGGGGAATCAAAGGGTCTGGATTCTAGTTTCAGTTTTGGCAATGGACTGAAAGCATGATTCAGGAAACCCCATTATACTTCTCTGGTACTCATGCTGATGAGTTGCTTAAATTATAATTTATCTCCAAAATCTCTTCTAATTCTGCAGTTTTCGATTTTTGGCTATCTTAAAAGACATGAACATTTCTTTTTAGTTTTCTAACTTTTAAAATTGGGCTTTCAGTCTAGGTTTTTCATCCCCTACACTCTCATCCTTGAAAAATACTTTTCTTTGCTCACTTATGCAAATTTACAATTTGACAAAGAGATGTAGATGTCTTAGATTCAGATGCCACTCTAAAGGTATAAAGCCCTTTTGGCAAACAAAACAAAACAGAAAACAAAAAAGCAAACCCACGGACAATAAACAAAAACAAACAAATAATTTTGCCATTAATCATGCAGGAGCTTTTAATTTAGGTGACACCAGTTAGTTCAAGAAGCTTGAAGTCTTTTCAATGATAGTCATCTATATAGAGCCTTATATGGTGCCAAAGCTGTCTGGTTATTCAAATATATTCTAATTTCCATAAGCAAAGGCATTTTCAGTAAGTACTTACACATGATATTGTTACATACTTATGCAAATAGTATTAATTTCACCTAGTCCCAAGCGTGGACTAGGCTGTTTAGAGACAGTGTTCTTGGGACTATGGTAAAGGCAGAGTAAGAAGGGTAAGATTTCCAACTCTAAGCCAATGGCACAAAAATATGACGCTTTTGATTGTAATGAGTAATTCACTGTTCTCTGGCCTCCTTTGGTTTCTCAGTCCATCATGATCTAATGATTTAGACAATTTTTTATTTTCCAGATAACTCCAGTGACAGCACCCAAATGCCTACTGCACCTCAACTCTCCTCTAGAATGAAGCACATCAAACAGGAGATGGCCAAAAATCACCTTCAGTTTGTGCGATTTGAGGCAACAGACCTCCACGGTGTGTCCAGGTCTAAGAGCATCCCCGCACACTTTTTCCAAGTGAGTTCTGCGAGTAGAGTTAAGATTGGATGTAATTTCATGACTGTTAGCAAGCAAATGGTCCTTAATACTCTTTCTTATTTTATCATAATCTATATGGCAATTCAAGCTGAAAGTCAGTCATTTCTCTTATTTCTTCCCTTGTCCCTCCCCAAACACATTATTGTTCCCCAAGGAGCTGAGCATGTATTTTCAGCTCCCAAACATCAATTCATTGACCCAATAGGAATACAAAACTAATTAAGACTCATTGGTAATTTTAGTCCTTCTGCCTTGAATAATTTCACTCCACAGAATTATCTTTTTTCTCTTACTGTAATTATGAAGATTATAGTTTGTTTTATATGAGAAAATTACAGAAGACTCAGAAGCAAATGTAAAAGGAAAAAAAAAAGATTAAATAGAATTTGCTGAGTAAAAAGCATACCCCTTTCAGCTTCGAATTCTGATAAGAAAATACCCTATTGTTGTTGGATGACTTAATGAATGTTATTAAGTTCTCAAGAACAGTAAGATCAAGGAATATTGTATCTTTGGATATTTTTTGAGACTTTCTGAGATTTTTTTCAGCTTATGGCATGGGTTAATAAATGATTTACTGTGTTACTAAAGCATCATTTCTTGGGAAGGAACATCAGGCAGTATTACACACAAAAGTATAAAAATTAAGCCTCCTCTAAGATTATTTCTTAAATATATATTACTTACTAATTCAATATCATATTGTAATTCTTCTCATTAGCTTTACATTGGGAAAAACTGGGCATCTTCAAAATGCTTTTTAAAAAATTCCAAAAGGCAAATTTGTTACTGAAAAATTCTTTAGATCTGCCTGCACATACACATACACACACACACACACACATACCCACACACAAAGGACACAAAGTTTATATATACAGGTCCTTGAGTGAGTTGAAAAATTGAGCAGGCACTGAATAGTGCTTTACTTATGCGACTTAGTTACTGGCAAAAGCAGACTTGGGTCAGGCAGGTAATATGGCATTTGAAATGTGTAGAGATGGTGGGAAGTGAAGTGTGGTGGTTCACTGCCAAATGCAAAAGAGTGGGTCAGTAGATTGCTTCTGCTAGCACCATCCCCTCTTTGGTACCCAAGCCAATTTGGCTTGCAGAATGTTAGTGTTTTATTAACATCACGATGTCCCTGACATTATGGGAACCAAACTTTATAGTCAGCTTTTTCTCCACCCATTAATGTAAACTTCAACACATGAAACCTTATTGATGTTCTTATTACACAATTTCTAGAAATTTTTAAATTTATCTGTTCAAATGTATAACCTTATTAATTTCTTGCTGTCTGGCACATAGCAAAAGTTAAATAAAAAACCAAATCCATTGACCCCGAGAGGTATATGGCTGGAAAGTGTCCCAGCAGCCACCTAGTCCAGCACTTTTATTTCACAGGCGTGGAAGCTGAGGCCGATAGTTCAGTGACCTGCCCAACTTCACACAGGCAATTAATACAAGAGCTTGGGCTGAAAGTTAGGTTTGGAGACACCCAGGTCATGCTGACTCGAAGGCTGTAACATTTTGGAGACTATAACTTTGGAGAAAAAGGTCCACATGCATGGGCAAGGTTTCTGGGACTCTGCGAGTCTGTGAGGTTGTGTTTCTTTAGTGGGCGGTAAAGGTGAATAAAGAGGGAAGGGCTGTGCTCAGAAGACCCGGCCCCTCTGCCCTGTGTGTCCTACATGTGACCACAGCCAGCTCTCCGAGAAGGAATGAGCATTCTTGACCGTAGACTTTGGAGAGTCAGTTAACAATGGGGATTACAATGGAATAAGCCAGAATAAAGCCTTGAGTATTAGCAACTATGTTGTATGATAAAAGTGCTTTTAAAAGTCTTTTTGGTTATGACATTTCAAGTAATTCCATGACACTTTACCTTTGTTATTAGCTATGAAGACATTTTCTTTATCATTATACCTTTTATTTATGACTGCTGTTTTCAAATCTATGAGCACATAAAGCCTTCAAGGCTGACTATTTAGATGTGTTTATAAATTACCTTCAGGGTTTTTATTTTAAATGATGTAAAATTTATCTGATATTAAGCTAGTGTCAACCAACAGATGTTAAACATCTTTTTCTCATTAGGAAGGCTCTCCTACTGCTCCCCCTCCTCTATTTAAAAACATTTTTTAAAATTTATTTATTTTTAATTCAGTTATAATCAGTTTACAATGTTATGTCAATTTCTGGCATACAGCACAATTTTTCAGTCATACATAAGTATACATATATTCATTTTCATACTCTTTTTTACTGTGAGCTACTACAAGATCTTGAATATATTTCCCCGAGCTATACAGTATAAACTTGTTTATCTATTCTATATATACCTGTCAGTATCTTTAAATCTCAAACTCCCAGCCTGTCCCTTCCCTCTTCCCTCCCCCTGGTCACTACAAGTTTGTATTCTATGCCTGTGAGTCTGTATCTGTTTTGTATTTAAGTTCATTTGTCTTCTTTTTTTTTTTTTTGATTCCACATTTGAGTGATCTCATATGGTATTTTTCTTTCTCTTTCCGGCTTCCTTCACTTAGAATGACATTCTCTGGGGACATCCATGTTGCTGCAAATGGCATTATGTTGTCATTTTTATGACTGAATAGTATTCCATTGTGTAAATTTAGTACAACTTCTTTATCCAGTCAACCTCCTCCATCTCTTTGTTTTCACATTTCAAAACCTGATTGCTCTATTCTTTAACTTCTTTAGGAAAAAGTGATCCATGGTGTTTACATGCCACGAGGTTATCTTGAATTGATACCAAGTCCTAAGGACAATGAAGTAGATCACATAAGAGCAACATGTTTTAACAGTGACATAGTCCTGATGCCAGAGTTATCGACCTTTAGAGTTTTGCCATGGGCAGAGAGAACGGCAAGGGTGATATGTGACACGTTCACTGTGACTGGCGAGCCTCTGCTGACCTCTCCAAGGCATATTGCAAAGAGGCAGCTGAGCCAGCTGCAGGACTTTGGTTTTTCCCTGTTCTCTGCCTTCATCTATGATTTTTGCATTTTTGGTGTGCCTGAAATTATCAATTCCAAGACCATATCTCTTCCTGCTTCCACACTGCTGAATAATCATGACCAGCCCTTCATTCAGGAACTTGTTGATGGTTTGTATCACACTGGAGCCAATGTTGAGAGCTTTTCCTCCTCTACCAGACCGGGCCAGATGGAAATCTGTTTTCTGCCGGAATTTGGCATCAGTTCAGCTGATAACGCATTTACCCTCAGAACAGGTGTCAAAGAGGTGGCAAGGAAATACAATTACATCGCCAGCTTTTTCATTGAGACTGGATTCTGCAACTCAGGAATTTTGTCTCATAGTCTCTGGGATCTTGATGGGAAGAAAAACATGTTCTGTAGCAGTTCTGGGATTGAGCAGCTCACGATCACGGGGGAGAAATGGTTGGCAGGACTCTTGAAGCACTCAGCTGCTCTCAGCTGCTTGATGGCTCCCGCTGTCAGCTGTCGGAAGCGCTATTCCAAGGAGAGTAGAGAGCAGAAGGAGAGTGTGCCCACCACGTGGGGGTACAACGACAACAGCTGTGCTTTTAATATCAAGTGTCATGGTGAGAAGGGCACCAGGATAGAAAACAAACTGGGCTCAGCCACGGCAAATCCTTACCTCGTGCTGGCCGCCACTGTTGCTGCAGGCTTGGACGGACTTCAGAGCACTGATGGTGTGTTCGCTGGTCCAGAGGACAGCACAGACCTCCATCAACCAAAACCTTCTGAGATCCCTTTGAAACTGGAAGATGCCCTCATGGCCCTGGAGGAAGATCAATGCCTGAGACAGGCTCTAGGAGAAACTTTTATTCGGTATTTTGTTGCCATGAAGAAATATGAGTTGGAAAATGAAGAAACAGATGCTGAGAGAAATAAATTCTTAGAGTACTTTATTTAGAGTGGAGACATGAACCATTCCTTTAGCAATGTGATAGTGACTTACCTAGCTGATCTACTGGAAAGAAAATACTGGATTTTTGTAACAACAAGACTACACATACACGCTCTCTTTTTAGTCCCCATGGAATATTTAACAGATGAAGTGGGGCTGCTGAGCGGATTCTGATGACAGAAACAAACAATAAAGTTGTGGTGCAGCTGTGATGTGCAAACTTAACCAGGTCTTGTCGGTCAGTGGTCATTGCCTCGCGTATATCGGCCTAGACAGAAATATTCAGGTTTGGGGGGGGGCAATAAATATATTCACATAATAAAAAGGCTTAAGAATTAGAAAATTTTAAATGACTGAAAAAAGAAGCTGAAGAAATAATTTCAATTATACACATAGGGTGTGAGTGTCAGGGAAAAATACTTGCTAATATCATCTCACTAATTAAGGCATATTGAGGATCTATTTTGCAATTACCATTGCATTCTTTCTAAATGAGTTAAATAGCTTTAACAAAAATATATCATGATGACAAGTTAGCAGAAGTTTCCACATATGTCTCTTCTTATTCCTGAAAGGCCTAACAACTTCAAGGAATGATGTCTGCAAGAAACAAATCCACAAGAAATAGACTTTGAGCTGGGAACAATAAGGTCAAATATTTAAAGTAGTGAAAATGTTTAAACAGTGTCTCACATGGAAACCCAATCCATGAAACCCAGAGTCAGTGGGTACGCGGAGGGTGCGTGGGCGCTCTGCTTCGCTCTCTCAGACTGGAGATTTCAAAGATACCTTTCGTGCTTTGCGGGGTGTGAGGACAAATATCTTGATAGCCAGGGCAATGTTTCCAGCTAAAATGGTACTTAAATTACTGATTCTCCTGCCCACAGAGGTTGATATCTCTCCAGAGAATGTTAAATGTCCCAGATGTTTGAATGAGACAATATTGTAACTATCAGGAAAGTTTAGCTTCTTTGGGGGAGGAAATTCAAAATCCACTTACTGGTAAATGAAAACCCTATTCCAATGCTTAGGAGCAAATAGGAGATTCTACGTTCGATTAAGATGGACTGTAGTCTAAATTTAGACAGCAAACACACACACACACACAGAAGATCAGAATGTGGCTCACATCCTCCTGTTCAAATCCAGAGTACTCAGGAGCTTTACTAGTGAAAGTCAGCCTGTCCTCTGCTAATTGCTCCCCGCTCTTTCCTCTGAGCAGCAGAAGTGTGTTTGGATATGTAAGGATAGGACTTTTGAGTGAATTAAGATGTAGAGAGAAAGGAGCATGGGGTGGGTGGAACAGGAAAGGAGTCTACACTGACACTGCTGAGAATGAGACCCCGGGAAGGAGCCTGGGGACGAGCTTGCCGCTTATCTTCCCGTCTTCACTCTCTCCTCTGTTCTCAGTGATGACAGGGAAATGTCTCAGCTGGGAACACACCATAAAAAAATAAAATGACAGTTCTGAGTTTTCATTGTGGCTGAGTGTGGTCGCGGTATTGGGTTCAGGCCAAAGAAATGTGAAATGTTGTATGGAAGCTCTGGGAAACTTCCTTAAACTAGGGGTTCTCTGTTCCCTGTCCTTTCCCCATCTTTCTGTCTTTACCCTCCCTGCTAGCTGACCTACAGGTACTGTGGCTGGCGTGATGCCCCTTTGGGAATGGACTCACACAAAGGGTAGAAACAGGCAGAAGCTCTGCTTTGTGGAGCAGAGCATGGTTTGCCTACATTCGGAGTCTTACTACCACCTCCTTTAAGGACAGTGGTTTGGGCTTTGTTAACTCTCCTTTCTTGCTTGCATGTGTGTGTGTGTGTGTGTGTGTGTGTATGACATTTGAGGGATTCTGAGATGAATGAATAATGATAAAAGAACCAGTGAAAAACCACTTCCTCAACCTTCCTACTTCTAAAGAGAATCTGAATTAGAGGGGTTCACACATGCAAAAAAAAATGTATTGTCACCCACCCTGCCAGAGCTGTGTAGACCTACAAAAAATACTGTTGCCCATCCTCCAGCTCCACAAG